TCTTCCAAAGACCTGGCCGCCTCATCCATCCTAGGCCTCAGTGTTCTCACTGGGTATAAACTGACGGTTCGCTTTCGAGGCTGATTTTTGTGGTGACAGAGTTGGGCCCTTTCTCCATCTTTGTTTTGGTTTTGGGTTTTTGAGACAAGAGTTTCACTGTGTAGTTCTGAAGCCTGGCTTTGAACTCACTATGCAGTCCAGGCTGGCCTCAAACTTGCAGCAGTCCTGCCTCAGCCTCCGGCATGCTGGGATGACAGGTGTGCCCCACCGTGCCCGGGTCTCTCTGGTTTTCACTACAACTCCCAGCTCAGGCCCAGGCCCACAACTAATTCCTTTCTCTGCTTTCCAGGCGAGGGCTCGGAGTACAGCGCTGGTGGGGAGGATGCCCTCAGCAGAATCCAGAGGTTGATGGCGGAGGGGGGCATGACTGCCGTGGTGCAGCGGGAGCAGAGCACCACCATGGCCTCCATGGGCGGCTTTGGCAACAACATCATCGTCAGCCACCGCATCCACCGCAGCTCGCAGACAGGCACGGAGTCGGGGGCTGCCCGCACCTCCTCGCCACAGCCCTCCACCTCTCGGGGACTGCTCCCGGAACCCGCACAGCTGACAGAGCACGGCCTCAGCCTCCGGACAGCCTCCTGGGACCAGCCCGGGACCTCTGGCCAGGAGCTGCCCGAGCTGTCCCTGCCCTCTGCCTCCCCTGTCCCCCTTCCCAGCACCGAGGGACCAGCCCTGCGCTGTGACCTGACCGATGACAGCCACCTTAGCGATGGCGGGGGCAGCGGCGGCAGCAGCAGGGGGGAGGGTGCCAGCCCCAGTGGGGAGCCCCGGAACAGGTAGAGACAGGTGTGCACGCTGCCGCCCTTGCGCCACCAGGAGTCGGACCTCACAGCTGACTGGGAAGTGTACGCAGAACCGGGGCCGCAACAGGGAGCAGCAGGAGTGAGAGGGCAGGAGGCAGCTGACTGGCGAGGCTCACGGAACTGGGCCCAGAAGAGCCAGGCTGTGGGCTGCCGAGTATGGAGGAGCAAGAGATGTCTCTGCTGTGAACCCTCTCTCTCCTAGGGCTGGGCTCAGGGCACTTGGGCCTGGGCAAGATCCCCAGAAGAGTGAACCGTCTTCCAGAGCCAGGCCACGCCGCCCTGGACAGAAGCCAGTGAGCAGCTTTGCCCTGTCTACCCGTCAGGTGGGCAGAGCTGCCTGGAGCCCCGGAACAGGGAAGGCTTCGCCCGAGTCCACCTCCATCCCTGGCCCTCCAGCCACGCTCCACCATCTCACCCCCAGGGACACTTAGTGGCAGGGGACACCAGGGCAGCAGGCAGGCCCTCAGGAGTGGGGGTGTGGGCTGGCCCACCCCTGGGCCTGTCCACTAGCTCCTTCAGCACGCCCTGCAGGCAGCATGAGCAGCTGTCAGTGGTACCGAGCCCAGGCCAAGCCAGCCCAAGTTGCGGCAGGGGCTCCAGCCCAGGTCAGAATGTGAGGTCTTGGTCTGTGATTTAAGGTGTTGCATGTGGAATCTTGAACTGTATGTGTAGTTTCTAGTGAAGAATCAAGGCTATGATCTTTTTGTTTTCCATATGAAATTGTGATTTCCTTTCTGTTTGTCACTCATCCTAGACACATTGTGGTGGGAGGAGGGGATGGTCTACTGCTAATGAGGGAAACACCAAAGATTATGTCATTAAAACGATGCCATGCCCCTCGCCAGGCTCCTGTGTCTCCATCGAGGGTGGGTTGGGGGGTGGGGCATCGAGCTGCGCCCGGCCCTGGCTGCCCCGGGCACTTTGTGAGGCTGCCCTGCGATGGGCATCCAGTCTGACTCCAGCCTGGTAAGGGCTGCCACCTGTGCTGTTTGTGGCTTCCCTACATTGCCCTGCTGCCCAGGGCCTGCTGTTGATCAGCTGCTTCCCAACCCTGGAGGGGCGGGGGGCTGGCTTCTGCTTGTAGGCGCCCCAGAGGCTGTGCTGCTGGCTGCTTGGGCCTGCCCTTACCCTGTGCCTTCTGCACAGTGACTGAAAGGCCTGCTCCATCCTTGGGACATGATTTCTCTAAGTCCCAGGCTGGCCTAGGGAAGGGGAGGCACCTTGGGCCCAACTTTTAGGGAGGTACTCACCTAGGGGAAAGCCTGAGCTACTCTGGGCTTCGGGCAGCAGCAAGAGCTTCCTGAGTTAACCCTTTTTTTTTTTTTTTCTTTTTTTTTTGAGACAGGGTCTCACAATGTAGTTAAGGTTGGCTTTGAACTCATGGTAATCCTCCTGCCTCAGCCTCCAGAGGGCTGGGATTACAGGTGTGTACCACCATGCCTGGTTCCCATGGGTATCTTTTTTTTTTTTTTTTTGGTTTTTCTCCGGTACCAGGAACCGAACTCACGACCTTGCGCTTGCCAGGCAGGCGCTTTGCCGCTGAGCTAAATCCCCAGCCCCTACCATGGGTATCTTTTGTATGCCCAACCCTACCCAATATGCTGTGGGCTGTGCAGGATTACAGTTCTGCCCCAGCAGAAATGAAACCAAGAGATAAACGGGCAAAGGCATGATCTAAAACAGTATGGAGAGTTAGCTACTTACCCAAGAATGCTCAGGTTTAATAGGCAGTCTTTCTTACATCGGTGGAGCATGGGCTGAAAGAGGTCCCCTAGCTGTGAGACCTCAGACTCACCACTCACCCTTACTGGGCTTCACTTACCTTTGGTAACGTGCAGGGCTCACACCGGGCAACCTCTTGAAGTTGCCGTTAGCACCGTAGTCTGAAACACACACCCAGACAGCAGCGTGAGGAGGGCAGGCTCTGATAGGGGGTGGAGGCCGGAAGAGGATCTGTCCCTTGTCGCAGGTTCTCCTGCAACGGGAAGATGTCACCTTGGCTTGACAGTGGGGTGGTTCACGTGAGTGTAAGCCGGGTGTCATCCCTCATGAAGCTGCTGAAGCATTCCTGCTGTTCACAGACAGCGCAGCCACTGGGAGAGCCTGGCTGAACCCAGGTAGGGTTTAGTTGCAGAGCATACCCTGTGGCCACTGTAACTGCTGTGTGGCCTTGGAGATGAGCACTCCAACTCTGAACCTGCCCGGCCACCCCAGCTGGCTCTGACATAGGATGGACCTATTGTCCACCTGTCTGTCCCCACACCAACCGTGTGAGAGCCCTCCATCCAGGACAAGGGGCGGCTCAAGGGCCAGAGGCTTGACAACCCCTTTGGAGCTGAAGAAATGTTTGGAAAAGTCCTGTGGCTTTAGACAATGGGCCCCGATGAGTCCATCCACCAAGGAGCAGGAGGGAACCAGGTGTCCTGTTCGAGAGACAGCTCTCCAGGGTTCCTCCGTGGGTTCCGAGATTGCAGCCTGGGGAGTCTAAAGCCCATGGTGGTGATTTTAGAGAAATGAGTGGCTTTGCCTGGCAGCTTCTGGAACTGCTCAAAACTGGTTCTGCTTTTTGGGGCCTGCATGCCTCGCCCTTGTTGGTCTCCCCATCAACACAGCTAACATCCTGCCCCCTCCTCCCCGCCACGCTGGCACTCTCCCGAGAGCGCCCAGCTCCCGGACTCTCAGAGGGATATGGTCATTGTCACGCACACCAGCCCAGCCAAGCCTCTTTCCTCCTCTGTGAAGTGGGGCAAGAACAATAGTTCTGCTTTCGCCCTCAGGAGGCTGGGGGGACATCTTACGCGCATAAGGGAAGATGGCTTCTCTGGACAGCCCAGCCAACCAACTCTGACCCTGAAATTCCCGGGCCTGACTAGGCGGCCCTGGCACCCAGGAGCACTGGGGACCTGACCTCCAACTCCCCTTCAGCATGGAGAACCCTGCACCACGAGCCCCGCAGCGCTGGCTCGGCTCAGCTCTTGCCTCTTCTCTGCGGAGAGGTTGCCGCCGCCTCTGCCTCTCCTGCCCTCGGTCCGCCTGCACTTCCCCCGGCTCCACCGCCGGCCCTCGGGGAGGTTGGAGGAGGGCGGGACTTGATTGTTTCTCCAAGACCTGACACCAGGGGTCTTTGAGGTTAATCGGCTGTCCGCGCTCTGAGGGCTGGGGGTGACAGGTCTCGGGAGGCTCGGCGAAGACCCGGCTGACGTGAGCAGGGCGGTCCGCTGGCCGCTGCAACCCGGGCGGGCGGAGCTCTCCGAGGTGCTGAATCCGCTCACTTCTGCGCACTGCCGGCCAGGCTCGCTGAGGGTGCGAGTGGTGCGGATCCAAGAGACTTGGGAGACTGGCGCCTTACCCTCGGGGACTTGTCCGGCCGTCTCAGGTGACCTTGGGCGCCTAGCCTCCCCTCCGTGGCAGCTGTGAGCATGTTCTACACGGCGTGGAGGGACGGGCGGCTCCTCCCGTGCTGAGGCCCGCAGGGCGAGAGCGCGCCCCTTTCTGGCCTGGGGCGTGGGCCAAGGGGCGCGGGGAACGGGTAAGGGGAGGCGCTGCCGGCGCTGGCAGCTCCTCCACTCTTCAAACGCTCGCCCGCCCGCTCCCCGCTTTCTCAGGCCGCCGACCCACAGCCAAGGCTGCCCCGACGGAAATGTGGGGTCGAGCGCACCCCAAGCACCCTTGGCCGCCTGTTGGAATCAAACCCTCGCACCCGCGGCCAAACTGCAAGCAAGGCCACGTATGGGAGGGAAACACCCAAAAGCACTAAAGCACTTGGGGTTCAGGGTACTCGGTCAGGGCGGAGGCGGGCCGCATAGCGGACCCGACCGTCTGCTTCCTCCCCAGCCCGCGAGGGGGCGCCGCGTCCCCATGACAACGCGGACACCCGCACCCCCGGAGGGCAGCGCCCCCCGCTACGAGCGCCGGTGACTGTGGGCGCTGCCTCGCCCGAGCAGCGAGTTGCGGGCCGGCACCGGGGAGGGACGCGGGCCGGGGGGTTCCCGACACCCCAGGTGGTGACCCCCGCGCATCGCCGCTGGGTGACCGGCTGGGGCGGGCGGCGTGGTCCCTCCGCGATTGGCTGCTTCCCCGTGACATCACGCGGCTCGGGGAAAAGTGCGAGCGTGAGCGCGAGTCGGAGCCACAGCGCCGGAGCCGCAGGCGGAGCAGGGGCCGCCCCTCTGCACCGGCCCCGGCCCGCCCCTGGCCCGGTCCGGCCCGCGGGCCTGGCGTCCGTGCCGCCGTCTGTCGGGGCGAGTGCAGCGGGCGCGGCGGCGGTGAGTGACTCCGCGGCGCGCGGGGGCGGGGGCTCGGGAGGAGGAGGACGCGGGTCCCGGGATCCCTGCGGGGCCCCAGAGCTGGGTCCGACGGGGACCGCTTCGGGAGCGAGCGCGGTGTCGGGGCCCAAAGGCCCGCGGCAGGGACCGCGGCGGGAAGAGGCCGGGGTCTCGAAGCCTTAAGGTGGCCGCAAAAGATGCCCGTGGGACCGGGCTGCAGGAGCGCCCACCCTGAGAGCCCCCGGGGTCGCCTTGCGGTCCGGACCCCGTACTCCAGACCCCTGAAGCTCAGTAGGGCGCCGGGCGCGGAGCCCAGGAGCCTTTTCCCGCCCGTCTCCCCGCCCCCCCTTTCTCGCGGGGCCGCCCGGGGGCTGCGAGCTCTCCAGCGCACGAGTCCTCCATCGGCGACCTTGAGCCCCGACGGAAGGCACCCCTGCCCTCACCGCTCCGGGCCCCGCCAAGGCCATCCCCGCTCCGCGAGGGCTCGGAGCCGGGGCCCCCAACCCAAGCCCTCAACCGGGCCTCGCGGCGGAAGCGCCGGGCACGAGGTCGGCCGAGGCCCCGCGCCCCTCTGCCTCCCCGCAACTCGAGTCTCCTCTCCCTCACCGCGGACAGATCCAGGCGCCACAGCCTTCCGCCCCAGATCTCGGGGTGACGGCCTCAAAGCCGGGGTTCTACGCCCCAAGCAGCCCGCCAGGCGCCCGAGCTCTAGCTCCGCTGTGGCCGGGCAGGGCAGGGGCTCAGGCCCCGAAAGCGGGGTGCCCACGCCCAGAGGCCGCGGGAGCTGCGCTCGGCGGGTACTGAGGGAGGGGTGCCGGGGAGCCACGGGCCCCCAACCTGGCGTAGACGCGAGGAGCCACTGGGGGCCCCCGAGGCCACCTGGGCCAAGGGCTGAAAAAACAACCCGCGCCCACTCGGGTCGCCGGCTGCACAGGGCCCTGGAACAGGGAGGGTGAGGAGGGCAGGAATCTTGCACCCGTCTGACCCGAGCCTCGAGCCTCCCTGTGGGCGTGTGGTCCCTGGCCGGTCCCCTCAGGGCGCACGGAGCTGAGCCCAGTGACCTTCAAGATTGCGCGACCATCGCAGAGGCCCCCGACAGAAGTCAGTCGGAGGCTCCGCGCTGACTCCTTGAAGGCGCGCACGGCCCCGGCCCCGGCTGAGACCATAAAGTCAGGGGTCAGGTCCAAAAGTCTGGGGTCCTTCCGAGCCCGAAGCGTCCTGTCCCACAGGCCCCGCGCTGTCGCGGACCCCCACCGCTACCCGCAAGCTCTGAGAGAGAGGCAAGTTCTGGGCCGAGCCTCCCACCTGGGCGTGGGGATGTGGCCGGTGGCCGTCGCCCCGCTTGTGCTCGTGTGCCCAGGTCCACAGCTGCAGCACCCGAGCTGCGTGCGTCCCCCAGGCCACCGCAGCCCGGGCACGCACACGCGTGCACATACACGTGTCCACGCGGGCGGCATGCTCACGCGCTCCCCGCGCACCGGTATCCAGGCGGGGCCGTGGCACACACGCACATGCAAGCAGCTACTAGCGTCTACTCGCGCTCCCGGGCAATCACACACAAACACAACTCGCGCTCGCCGTCCTCCCACGCGATCCTCGCAGGGTGGCGGGTGGAATCCAGGCGCCCTAAACTTTCTCACACTTGAACCCCGCGCAGAGCGGAAGGCTGCTTCGTGGCGCCTAGGGTGGGTTCTGGCGAGGGGGAGTTGGGGATGGCGATGGGGACGGGGATGGGGCCGTCCCCTCCCCGAGGAGCCCTGCCTAGAGCCTCTGTGTTTGTGGACGCCCTGGCGTTGGGGGCGGCGGCGAGCGGCAGCCGCCCGCTCGGGTCGGGAGCTGGCACCCAGGAACCGACATTGCCATCTAGCGGTGCACACGGCCCTGGCCACGGCTGCCTGCCACCGCCGATGCGAGCGGGCCTGGATTCCGGCAAATGCACCAGGGAGGGGGCCGAATGTCTGCGGGGACTGAGCCGACCCTGTGCGGGGCTAGGGCTCCACTACCCGTCACTTATTCTACCACCCCGGTAAGAAATGTACTTATTTTTCTTCCTTCTTTGGACCCAGTTTGTCCCCTTGGAGGACAGGAAAGCTCCTGTCCTGGGAAAGCTAGATGGGGGACCTCCCCAAGCCGCACCTGATGGGACCCCACTTGGGTCATTTTGGTGGGGCAGAGGTGGGACATTTACTCCAAGTGCTATTCAGTACCTTGGAGTTAGGGTGGCTCTGGGTTCTAATCCTGCTCCACCCCTACTTACAAATTGGGTAATTTAGGGCTAGTTACTTAGCCTTCTCCTCATGTGAGGATGTTTACCTCTTCATGCTGAGCAGTCCCTACCTTTTCCTTTTGGGGCTCTTGTAATCCGGTAGAAAAGCCTCAGAGGGCCTCCTGGCTCGCTCCCTCCTCTTGCCCTGCTGGCCGGTGTCCTGGCCCTGGGAGGCCCCCCGGTGACAGATCCCAAGGCCCACCCTCCCCTCTGCAGCACAAGCCTGGGCACGGCAGCTTCTCTGCCTGCATGCTTCTGCTCTCTGGGTTCAGCAGGCGACACTGTGTTTTTCTGCGATAGGGTCTCACTGTATAATCCAGGCTGGCCTTGAGCTCATTAGCCCAGGCTGTCTTGCCTCAGCCTCCCGAGTGCTGGGGTGACAGGCATGTGCCTCCATGCCCGGCGGAGGGTGACACTTGAGTTTCCATTTAGGGTCCTCTCAGAGTTACCTGGGGTGGCAGAGACCCTGGAGAGAAGGCCTTCTCTGCCCTTTGCCCTTGACAGTCAGTGTGACCTTTGGGGACAGCTGCTCAGCTTCTCCAAGCACTTGGAACAGGAGGCTGGCTCGGTGTCTGTGGTGGTGGACAAGGGCCTGGGGCCACCGCAGCACGTGGCTGCAGCCTCCAGTGCCATTTCCGTGACATCAACTCGTTCCGTCCTGACAGCTGCTCAGGAGGTCGTCTCAGGACAGGACCGTGGACTTTACAAAGGACAAGGAGAGGAGCGGGCGGCAGGTGGCTTCCTCAGGCCAGGCCGCCAGCCCTCCTTCGGTGCCTTCCTCCCCACGGCCGCTTGCCGCCTTCCCCGTCACACACACAGACGCACACAAGTGCGTCCGCGGCTGCGTGTGGCTGAGACAGGGCCGAGTGCGTATGTGACGGCGTGTGTGTTGGCGGGTGTGAAGGAGGCTGGGCTCAGCGGCTGCCCTGGCACCGGTGCCGGCGTGGGCCTGGCTCACATGTATGGAAGTCGGAAGAGGAGGAGGAGAGCGCGGTGGGCGAGGGCGGCTGCGAGAGGGGCTCTGGCTGGGGCGCCTGGTCCCCGGCCCTGCGGGGTGTGGAAGGGCGAGGAAGGTCAGCCTGCGGCCCCTCTCCACCCTCTGCCACGATCTTTTCATCTTTGGGGTTCCCTGGCCGCTCTTGGGGGCAGCCTTGACACTGGGGAAGCCATGTGGGCCCTTGCTTTATTTTCACATGTTGGCCTTACTGGGGGTTGAACCCTTGGAGTCCTGAGCTATACCCCCAGCCTAGTTTGTTTTGAGACAGAGTCTCACTGTGTAGCCCAGGTGGGTCTCAAATTCGTGATCCTCCTGCCTCAGCCTCCAGAGTGACTGGGATCACAGATGTGCACCGCCACACCGGGCTTGATGTGGGCCCTTTGGGTTTCTGATCCTGCAGGGGTCTGAGCTTCTGGGTTTGGAGAGCCCCCAGGTCCACTCTCTGGCCTGTTCTGTGCTCTGGGCTGGGGTGAGGGTGGAGGAGACTGCTGAGCTGCCCTTCAAGGCCTCTTCTTCCTCTCCTGCTCCTCCTCTCCTCCCGGGGATGCCCCTCCGCCCTTGGAATGGGCTCCGTGGCCCTGTGGCCCCCTCTGCTAGAGCCCTCAGAGGACTGCTCTGCCCAGACCCCAGCAACAGGACCTCAAGGAGCCGCAGAACCTCGGCTGGGTTATATGACACTTCTGTGCCTCAGTTTCCCCATTTGTAAGTAGTAAAACTACCTCTTCTTAGGTGTGTTGCGGGGTGCAAAGAGTTAATACTCTAAGCAGTGTAGAAAGTGCGGGGCCCTTGGGAAGCAATACACGTTAACTGCTGACATACACTTTCCCATCAGTGCCCGCCTCCAGTGTAGGCCCCAAGCCAGGCCCTTGGCGATGTTAAGAAAGGACCCGGTGGGGCCCTGGATGGAGCTCCTGGTGCAGCACTCACCTGCCACGAGCAGGGACCCGGTTCCATCCCCGCTGCCCCCACAATACATGCATACCCAAGACAGGGTGGGTGGATGAACGGGTACCTGGAACCAGAGCCCTCTGGCCACTCACCCGCCTTCCTGGGCTCCATCACACAGGCCTCTGAGGAGGCGGGGGCAGGCCTTCCCTGTTTTGCGGGTTTGTTTTCTTTTTCTGTTTTTTGAGACAGAGTCTTGCTATATAGCCCAGCCTGGCCTCAACTTCTCAGCAATCCTCCTGCCTCAGCCTCCCGAGTACTGGGACTACAGGAGTGTGCCCCCAGGCTTTTGCTCTTGCCTTTGCCTTTGACTCGACCACTCCCTTTCAACACTTCCTGTGTCTGCCTCTTCCTTGTCACCAGCGTCCTCTCCTGCCTGATACTTTCTGTTTTTTGTTTTTGAAACAGGGTCTCGCTATGTAGTTCAGGCTGGCCTTGAACTCACTATGTGACTCACACGAACTCATGGTGATCTTCCTGCCTTGGCCTCCCAAGTGCTGGGGTTACAGGTGTGCACCACGCTGGGTCCTGACACTTTCCCTGATCACCCAGCGAGGAACCATCCCTGTCCTGTCTTCTGACTGCCTCATCCTGCCCTCAGCCTGCCTGCCTTTGCTTTGCTTTGCTTTTTCTCCTCTCTTTCTTTTTCTTTCCATGCAGTGGGTTGAATGCGGCCTGGAGCATGCTGGGTAAGCGCTCTACCCCTGCGCTGCATCTCGTATTTTCTTTCTAGCACTTTGTTGTGCACGCTTTTCTGCGTCTCCCCCGCTAGAGGACACACTCTGAGCTGGGCCCTGAATTTCCTGTCCTGTTATCCCAGCTTGAGGGCCGTGCCAGTGGCCCCCGTAGCTGCCCGATGAAGGCATGAATGGATGGTGCTGGATGCTGTTCCTCCCTCACTGCCTTGATTTCCCTCCTCACTGCCCGCTCCTCACCAGCACTTCACCCCTCTCTCTCTCCTTCCTCCCTCAGCCGCGCCCCAACATGGCGAACTTCACACCCGGCAACGGCAGCGCGGGCAACCAGTCTGTACGCCTGGTCACCGCGGCCCACAACCGCTACGAGACGGTGGAGATGGTGTTCATCGCCACGGTGACGGGCTCGCTGAGCCTGGTAACTGTCGTGGGCAACATCCTGGTGATGCTGTCCATCAAGGTCAACAGGCAGCTGCAGACGGTCAACAACTACTTCCTGTTCAGCCTGGCGTGTGCCGACCTCATCATAGGCGCCTTCTCCATGAACCTGTACACCGTGTACATCATCAAGGGCTACTGGCCCCTGGGCGCCGTGGTCTGTGACCTGTGGCTGGCCCTGGACTACGTGGTGAGCAACGCGTCCGTCATGAACCTTCTCATCATCAGCTTCGACCGCTACTTCTGCGTCACCAAGCCGCTCACCTACCCCGCCCGGCGGACCACCAAGATGGCCGGGCTCATGATCGCCGCCGCCTGGGTCCTGTCCTTCGTGCTCTGGGCGCCCGCCATCTTGTTCTGGCAGTTTGTGGTGGGCAAGAGGACGGTGCCCGACAACCAATGCTTCATCCAGTTCCTGTCCAACCCGGCAGTGACCTTCGGCACGGCCATCGCGGCCTTCTACCTGCCCGTGGTCATCATGACGGTGCTCTACATCCACATCTCCCTGGCCAGTCGCAGCCGAGTCCACAAGCACCGGCCCGAAGGCCCCAAGGAGAAGAAAGCCAAGAGCCTGGCCTTCCTCAAGAGCCCCCTGGTCAAGCAGAGCATCAAGAAGCCCCCGCCGGGCGCTGCGGCCCGGGACGAGCTGCGCAACGGGAAGCTGGAGGAGGCCCCACCGCCAGCCCTGCCGCCACCACCACGCCCAGTGGCCGACAAGGACACCTCCAATGAGTCCAGCTCGGGCAGCGCCACCCAGAACACCAAGGAACGCCCCGCCACGGAGCTGTCCACCACAGAGGCCACCGCACCTGCCGTGCCCCCCGCCACCCTGCAGCCACGGACCCTCAACCCGGCATCCAAATGGTCCAAGATCCAGATAGTGACAAAGCAGACGGGCAGTGAGTGTGTGACAGCCATCGAGATTGTGCCTGCCACGCCAGCCGGCATGCGCCCGGCCGCCAACGTTGCCCGCAAGTTTGCCAGCATCGCTCGAAACCAGGTGCGCAAGAAGCGGCAGATGGCAGCCCGGGAACGCAAGGTGACGCGGACCATCTTTGCCATCCTGCTGGCCTTCATCCTCACCTGGACGCCCTACAACGTCATGGTCCTGGTGAACACCTTCTGCCAGAGCTGCATCCCAGAAACGATGTGGTCCATCGGCTACTGGCTCTGCTATGTCAACAGCACCATCAACCCTGCCTGCTACGCGCTCTGCAATGCCACCTTCAAGAAGACCTTTCGGCACCTGCTGCTGTGCCAGTACCGCAACATCGGCACGGCCAGGTAGGCGGGCAGGTGGGCGGGCCCAGGAGGTGCTGGCGTCCTAGGCTGGGGGACCGCGCGATGCAGGCCCCATGCCACGCTCACGTTTGCTGAAGAGGATGGAAGCCTGGGAAGCGGCTCCGGCTGGATTTCGAGAGCAGATCCCGGCTCAAGGAGGCTCGGCGCAGGGAAGTCTGGACTGTCATCGCCCAGCCCCAGGAGGTTGGGGACCCTGGCCGGGGTGTGCAGCGGCCCCATGGTAGCCAGCAAGCAGCAGAGCAGGAAGGATGGATGCGAGGAGGGCGGCAGCGGGGTCAGGCTGGAAGGACGGAAGCGTGGGTCCCCCATTCTGCTGTGATAGGTGCTTTCCGCCTCCCTGTGCCCCGCATGTAGGCTCAGCCCCTTCCCCCAAACCCCATGCAGGGGCAGAGATGCCCCTTGCTATAGCTGCTCAGCCGGCTGCCAGGGGCCGCTGTGCGTATGGGGGCGCAGGCTGGGCGCCCCGGGCTTCCCCTCCCCTGCAGTGCTGCCTCGTGCTGGCCTGGCAGGATGCAGAGGTCAGGTCGGGAGGCCCAGGCCAGGGCTCCCAGCTGCACCCCTGCCTCCCCTGTACCTCTGCAGCACTCAGGGACCCACCAGGCCTCAGTGAACTTCCAACCTGGCAGTGGCTGTACCAGGAGGCCTTTGACAGGGGAGGCTGAGTCCCAGGTCCCTTCCCCAGCCCGCCGGGTCCCCAGGCGAGAGGACGGACCGCCTTAGGGAAGACAGACAGGGGACCCTTTCAGGGGCCCTGAAGATTCTTTCGTCAGTGTTCTGCTTTCCCACAGGGAGCCCTAGGGAACACTCGGCAAGCCCCGAGCCCCCTAAGCCCACGGGGCCCCACAGCTGACCCTCCCCACAAAGCTGCGCAGTACCCTCCCGGGAAAGGGCTTTTATATATTGAAAAGAAAAGCTTTTATTGGGAAAGAAGTTGGTTCATTTTATTCATTTCTTGGTAACAAGGAGCATGGTGCAAAAGGACCACGGGGGGACTGGGAATCGAAAACCCTGGGGGGGTGGCGAGTTCCAGAATCCCTTGGCCTGCTCTGGGCTTTGGGGTGGGCGGGGTGCAGGGCAGGGTGATTGATAAAGCTGTGGAGCAAAGGCACTGGTGGGCGGTGTCCTGGGCCTGCGGGAAGGCGGGGGCGGCCAGGCTATCACAGCCTGGCTCAGTCCTTTCCCTTCCCTTTCTTGGCTGTAAAACAAGAAAGAAACGCGGTATTAGCCAGGTTACTGTAATCCAGTAGAGACCCCCACCCCAAAACGTCAAAGAGAAAATCTTGCACCCTGGCGATCTTATTTCCTTTTCCTGTGAGATACTGGGCATTGAACCCAGGGCCTTCACACTGAGACTCAGCCTTTCTTTAAATTTTGAGACCGGTCTTACTAAATCACTAAGTTGCCTAGGTTGGGCTCAAACTTCAGATGCTCTTGACTCAGCCTTCCAGTGTGCTGGGATTACAGGCATACACCACCACACTCCGCTTGCCTATTGACTTTTTTCGGCGGTGGGGGCGGGTGGTACTGGGAATGGAACTCAGGACCTTGTGCGTGCCAGCTACATCCTCAGCACCCTACTGACTTTCTATCAGCTGACCAGAAGCAGGTGGGGCACTCATGCTAACATCAGGCCTGACCATTCCACCTCCACTGTGTATTTTCACCCAGGATCAGAACTTCCAACCTCCTTGGCCCGGGCGCCGGGAACAGCCTGGGCTCCCTGACTGGGCAGTGGGCAGCTGCCCGCCTCTGCCCTGACGACCTCTCTGGGCTGCTAGGAGTGAGGGGGGCAGCCAGGTGCCCGTGAAGCCCTTGGCATCCAGGAACTGCGAAGGGGACCCTGTGGCCCCCCCTGCCCGAGCCAGGACCCACAGGGCGCTCTCCCTGGCCCCACCAGGACGGAGGCCCCAGGGCATAGCGCACCCGTGCCCAGGCCACTGACGTGTCGCTTGTCACGCGACTGCAGGTTGCACCACTGCCCTGGGGCGGGTCGGGCCCTGCGACCCCACCCAGCGCCCACCTTTGGCCTTGGCTTTGGTCTTGGGAGTGCAGGGCTTGGTCACGCGGATGGTCTCCTGGCACTGGGCGTTGTAGCGCGCCTTCTTCAGGGTGCCCTGGCGCGCTCTGGTGCCGGTGCCCCCATCGCACGGCCCCCAGCTCTCGAACTTGTACTTGCAGTCGGCTGGCGGGAGAGGCCGGGTCAGCGGTCAGCGCGAGCGCAGGCCTGCGCGGCCGCCCTGCCCGCCCCGCCGTCCCTCACCTCCGAACTCCTTCTTCCAGTTGCAGGGCACCCGGCAGCGGAGGCGCTGCGTCTGCGCCCCGCAGGCGCCCTCGCGGAAGCCCGCGCCGCAGTCCTTGCTGCTGGGGACGCAGGGGCCCCAGGTCCACTCGGCGCACTCGCCGCCCGCGCCGCCCTTCTTGCCCTTGTCTGCGGGGCCGGGACAGAGCTCAGGACGCGGGCGCCGGGGCTCCCCTCTAGGGCTCTCCGGCACCCCTCCGACCCCACCCCTCACCTTTCTTTTTGGCCGCCGTGGAGGGCAGCGCCAGCAGGGCGAGCAGGGCGAGGAGGAGGAAGCCTCGGGGCTGCATCCTGGGGGCCAGCGGGTCGGAGTTCCTCGCCGTCCCCTTGCCCACGGGGTCACCCGCGCCCCTCGCCTTCCGGGCCCCTCGCGCGGGTCGGGGCGCGCCGCGAGCAGGGCAGCCCAGCCCCCTCACC